GCCAAATTATTTCGTTGCAGACGTTTCATCACCAACCGAGGTGACTTCATCTGTGCGTAGTAAGCAAGAATTAACGGAATGAGAGAGTGATGGCCGAACCTGGCCATTTCGATCCGCGTCCCGTGACCACTGCTATAATGCAGTTCGATCGTCGCCTCTTTTAGACTCATGTGGTGAGTGACCCACCGTAAGTTCTCCTTTCGCAGTTGATGGTAGATCGGGTCTGTCAATGCGTAGGCTTATCGAGTTTTCCGTAGAGAACCATGCTTGGAGAAATTCTCTTCCTCTTCATGTCTCTTTCTGTACTAGGACCTCTGTCGTCTCCAAATAAAACATGGGCCCTTCTTCGTCAACCTGTGTCGAGACCAGTGATGATGAGCAATGGTTTCGACAGGCTCGCTTGTGTTCTTGTAACGTTGTAGATGACTTTCTCCCACTTTGGCCAACAAACTGTATCACAATTTTTACCCTATCCTGTAGACAACGTTCCGACGTCCATGTGTCCCCGTTTTCTCCTTCGGTCCAAGTAGGGTTACTTTCAGACTAGCGGTTGGTATGTAAGCTAACAACAGGTGGTAAGTCTTGAGGAGTCGAGCAATTTCCTATACGCTCTTGATGTAGGGTAAAGCGATCGGTTCCGCTGTCGTTGGTTCAGGTGTGGCATTTGTAGTCTTTCAGTCTATGTATCTTCGGATGGAATTGCGTGGATATCCATTGCACATGAAGGATGTAAACAGATGGTTTTATTCTTCTCGTTTTGCTCTCTAAGTATTACAATTTGATTCTCTCTTGAGAAACAAGGTCCGTAAGCAGCTGATTTTGTGACATTTTTGATGGTTGTCGTTGAAATTTAGGATTTGATCCGTGTGCATGTCTTTCCAGTGAACTGATGTTCCCCGTCCGCTGTTCTAATTACCAGTACGCCCAAGAAAGATAGTTAGGTGAAGTGGATGCCATTCAATGCATTGTTCAGGAAGCCTTGTATGATCTGCAACTGGTTGAGTTTGAGTATCACGGATGTGTCATCAACATACCTGACCTGTAATTTCGGGTTCATTACCTGGAGTAGATTTTCCGATAACTGTCGCAGATACTGGCTGTTGAAGGTTCGCCAGCATCGATAACATTACTTGAGTAAGTAATTGCCTGTAATATCTATCCATGAAGCCTGTGCCCAAACCCTCTTTTCCTCATGAGTGGAATATAGGGAATGGAAACCTCCGTAAGGTATGCCTTAAATGTATCCCAGGCTAACTGGACAGAGTCAGCCATCGAGATCATACAGCTCAGAATCGTAGCCATAGCTCGCATCGCATTAAAATCTACCTGCCAAATATTCTAAAGCAATTCAATGGCGGTCTGTTGGTACCTCGAAAGAGCATACCCAAAGGATATGAAGGCGTGCTCGCTGAACGCTAGATGTGTACCGTATGAAAGGTCAGTTACGAGTTCGAGGGACTTAGAGAAAACCAGATCTTAAGTAGATGATATTTGAGAGGGTTGATGTGTTCTCCGAACTGGGTAATTTTGTTGCAGACATTTCATTTCCAAGCTAGGAAACATCCTCAGTGCGGCTATTAGGGTCTGATTCGCAGATCCTCGTAAGCCACTGCCAGATCCAGATGATATTTTGTTATTCATATACCTAAAGAGGAAGTCCACGAACTGGTGCAAAGGCACTTGAAGAGTCAGCTCAAGAAAGTCTGCACCGAATATTCCTGACGCCGGATTGCAAGAAAGAGCGGCCAAACATACTTCTGTGAGGTTGAAATTCACTAGAACTTAACACTTATTACCCGACGAAATGCGAATAAGGTCAAGTATCCCCCTGAAGGAACTTCCAGGACTCCTGTGTATCAGTACAACTGCAAACTGGGTATAGGAAGTACACATAACAGCCGATGGAGCCTCAACAGTCTGATCCGACGACTGAAATATGCAGGTTCTCAACACATCTAATTTAAAGTTCACATAAAGTACAACCCTACCGCCTTGACGACCAACGGAGCGATCAGTTCTAAGCAGTGCGTAGCCAGGTAAACAGACCTCACCGTCCGTGAAAGCTGAAGACATGCACGTTGCAGTGAGAGTAAGTATGTCGCGACGAGAGTTGTCTACAAGTAAACCCAATTCATGCACCTTGTTCCTTGGGCTACGTACGTTGCTAAGTACTACCTCAAGGAAGTCGGCACGACCATCCCTGGGTCGCGCACCATCAGGATGGGTTCTGATAGGACGAAAAATGACTTCCGGCTGACCACCTGAAAACCAAAAAGACGGAGGCCTTGCTCACCAGCCACCCGCCTAGTTTTGTGGCCTTAGATAGCCTCCTTCAATTTCAATCTATCTGCCAGTGGAAGGTCAGGCTGAACGCTGACACCACTACCCTTAAGTTTGAATGCATACCACAGTAACGATTTGCGTTCCTACGGATTACGTGAAGTAGTCCGGACCGTGGATTTGTCATACGGATAGGGACGTGCCCCAATCCGATCAGCTTTCTGACAGTGACACCAGGAAAGCCTGGTAGAAGCAGCTTAGTGACGCACAGTTTGAGCCAGTTAATGTCATTCAGAATGCGTTCCCTTGGAAGAGCAGCCGAAGATTCAGTAACGTTAGGGAAGAATCGCCACGATGAGGAGCGTTTACCCCACTTGCCTTTGATTCGACAGTTACACCAGGTGTTTTCACCACTGGTGGTGGTGACTGGCGGTGGGACTGTCATTGTCTTCTCAAACGACGCTCAAGCAAAGGCAGCGTAAGTTCGCCGCGCTATTGCCGGCGTCTTACTATTCCCTGGGTCATCAAGTCACTTCGAAATTTTACGGGCAGATCTAATCCGCTTCTTCTTTTGGCTCACGGTAACAGGGGCTGTTGACAATGTGTCGCATTGAGTAGTTCCCAACATGTCATCAGAACAGGCGGCTTCAGTGGCAGCCGAGACGGTCAGCATCATCGGAATGTTCGCCTGTGCACAACCGTCTGATGACTTTACGGTTGACGAAGACTACATCTTCCTCGATACTGTGACAACTAAGTCTCTGGGTTTAGCAGAAAGCTTATGGTATTTCTGCACCCTATTTCTCTTCATTCTGACAGGCTCATGAGGAGAGTCAGCAATGCTACATGGAGTGTCCGATTGGATGTGCGACTCCTTGACCGAGTGACAGACACCAGCAGGTGGATCTTCAGCAGTGATACAGTCTACTGCAGCGTCCTCAACCTCAAAATTCAGGGATTTCGAAATCAAATCTACTTTGGTATTGAGCGAGGCAATAGAAACGAACTAGGCTATCGCCTTCTCAGCAGCTTCCATCCTTGACGCTAGTGCTGAAAGTTTAGCCCCGGTGATAGCCAAGCGCGTCAATCTCTGAGCGTAGTATCCATCACAGCTGAAAAGGAAGTTTACCCTGCACGATAGCATTTTGTACTGGTCTGCTTGTAGGCCGATATAACTTTCGTGATACCAGCAGCAACAAATGTCACACTCATACCGCCCGATAAGTCTGTGACAGGCTCTGAAAAGGTAGATGTCCGCTAGCTGCACTAAATTCATCTAACGAAGATCTCAGGGGTATAACCGTCTCGGTGTTTAGTAAGACAGCCATGTTTTTGTGAAAAACAGAATAGAACTATAACACGTACACAACAGTAAAACGACCGCAATAAAAATGCAAGAACAGGGTGCAAAACGGGATTTAAAAAGGGAACAACCGGAAAAGTTACCATGGTAATTTGGCGCCTACTGCAGTAACCGCCAAAGACGCTTTAGCCAGTACCACTTTAATCTATCCAAGATATCTCGGATTAGAGGAAATTTGAGAATAGTCAAATTTCGTTTCAAGAGTTTATTCAAACACTGTTTTCCACAATATTGCAGCTACAAACTAGATTAATATGGCACACCAAAATATCAAGTTACCGCGTAATACTCACAGCAAAGTGAAGACGTCACTTTCCAGTTGTGAATTGAGATCAAAGATGAACAAAAACACGACGAGACTACTAAAATAAGGTAAGAAACAAATACATACACCTATGTAATCGAGACAAAGGAAGGAACCCATCAAAAATATAAACGACGAAGAAAGTCTAAATTCGCGCGTGCAAATCGGAGTCACCAATTTGTAGGACTAGTAAATGCTAGTCTGAGACTGTGTGCGAAATCAAGCACGGATGTCAGGAAGCCATTGAAGCCGGACACATTGGACTATATTCGATTGGCTACAAAAAACGTAGACGGATGAAACGAGACAGAAGCGGCACATTAGCGTGACAACTTACAGAGCAGTCAAGTGACGAGTCAGATGTAAAAGAGATTAAAACAAGAAAGGATAAGGTACAATCGGTCAGCAGTGAAATTGTACATAAAAGGGATCAATTGTCTTTTGGGCGCTACAGCAGGGACTGCCAACGCAGATGGCGTGATCATCACTTGGTTGACCGTGGTGTGATTCGCGCGTGCTGATCTGACTCTTTTAGATACCAGTTATCTTGGACGAATAATACCCCGGATCAATGTCGGTCCACGGAATGAACACCCACGGGAAGTTATCCTACTCTCCCAGTTAGCATGAGTGACCGAAAGTCGTCCGTTGGGTGACCGAATATGCGCCGCGCCGGACACTTTTAGGCAACAAATCGGCCACTCAGAAAATATTGGCAGCATAATCTCGCTTGCTTTTATGCGTTCTTCCAAATCTCCCCCTACCTTAGCACATCACTGTCCCCTCCCCCTGCTAAATGCCGATACGCTAGGCGATGTACTGTACTCATTTCTCGGCAAACTATTGATCACCCAAAAAAGAATTGGCAGCGTAACCCCCCTCGCTCTTATACATTTTCCAAATTTCCCCCTGCATTAACGCACCACCGTCCTCTCTTCTAAATGCCGATACGTTTGGCAATTTTCGGTACTCAGTTTCGCAAAAATACACGTTTTTAACATAAAGTATATTATACATGTACGGATAATACAGTAGGTTCTCTCCTTTGCGTACCGCCATCGCGCTTCCACTCGTCGGATCCATTGCCAGACTCTGCATACAGCATAAATGTGAGTAGAGTTATTACATATACACACAGCTTACTGAGAACTGCGCGATAAGGGACATAACGGGTAGGCAAATCAATTCCTCAACAAGTCTGTTGGCGATTGAGGTCACCATTTGATGTTAAGGACAAATTCCGTATCACTTTAACCACCAACTGTAGCACTGAACGTCACCGAACACATGTAGTACAACGAAGGATGTGCCACCAGTTTTCACATAAATCAGGTTTTTCACTCTCCTTGCAGAGAAGCACCATCGCCTTCCCAGTCCATTTGGAACGAAAATGATCAGCTTCGCTGGTTGCGTTCGGCTGCCATTATGAAGTGTGCAATGGAGTGCATGCATTTCTAAAGAATATCAGGCACACTTGGAACGCTGTACAGAAGTGTCGACTTGCATCATTCGGAGGTTTGCAACATTCTATCACACAGAGATGTTTCCAGAGTAGCGTTTTTCACCGAAGCAAAGCAAAGCCTAAAAGCGATAGATTTGTTGGAAGAAAATGACCAGGTTACTTACGTAATTCAGCGGGGTTGATGGTTGCATCCGGGTCAGATACGACTTCGCACATCCATCAGTGATTTGGACGGCACTGCAAAAAATGTAATTTCAGCTGGTCAAGTTCAAATGGGACGGGAACAGTAAAAATAATCATTCTTATGTGCGTCGTTCGCTCAGGACAAAGCTTGTGGGATCAATTTGAAACTGAATTCACATCACGGTCAATCAACCAATGTCCATATGACCTGTGAGGTGAAATGAGAATAAACAAACGGGCGGCCAGCCATCCTATTTGGACGTGTTTTTGGTCACTCGCAGGATCAAAAGTTCACTATGAAAATAAATGACGTGATCTGTCCAGATATGCTGTTAAATAAGATCGTATTTCCTTAGTACCTCCGTTCTTTGTCTGAATGGCGTTACTTTTTTAGGAAAATCGTAATTTCAGTCAGAGCCAGTGACCATTGGAGCTCCCTGAGTGACCAATTTGTCACATAGGGTGGATGCGATACTCTGTAGTTCTACCTCAATCTTTTCCTCTGAACAGATACGGCGGGCTCTCATAGATGAAGATCAGCGCTAAACCCATCAGATCGGGGCGTACGCAACTTCAGCGTGGTGAAGATTTGCCACCCGGAAGTGTCAAGATAGAGCAGACGTAAGAAACAAGTCGCCCCGAAGGCACAACAGTGCAGTAGCATTATTTGTGACCTGAGCGGCTTGTTGGAATGCGAGAGATGCCTTAACCCGGGCATCATAATCGTACCGACCTTCGGGAGTCGCTCAACTGTAGCCTTGCCCCGACCAAGAATGGGAACCAGGCCAGTACGCAGTATGGTCTGAAAAAGGCTGAGAAGCATATAACAAGTATTACTTTTGTTAAGATTCCAAACAATCTGCAGATCATTCACAGTATTCGGAAACCCTTGTGATTAGCAGTCGGCCAATTCTAACGGGATTTAAAAGCGATTACGACGAAGTGCATACATCAACCTGGTGGGTAAACGTGCAGTAAAGCATCGCCGACAAGTATTAGGTTATAACAAATAATCCCCAGTGATATAATTCGCTGCTACACATGTTTTAAGGTTGAAAGAGTAGATATAGTCAATCCAAAGATTGTACTTTCCTCTACAAACCTACAGACACTATTCTCTCGATTAAATAACTGACATAACTTTAATGCAATAGAAATGGAAATACCAGACGTTATTTCGCGTTTCGTTGTAATCAACTTAGCTTCATTAACAGTTGACGACAGCAAAACTAGTCTGGATGTTTGTAGGCAACTGTCTACAAACATCGGTGTAGTAGGCCTAAGAACACACTGCTTCTAATATAAGATAAGCTTCATTCCCTTGACAGTTGTTACAACACATGGAAGAATAGGTAGAATTTCGTCACATCTAGGCTCACTCAGACAGCCGCCACAAGCCCGGAAAAGCACTGTACGCGCGTTTCATCCTTACGGGAATCATCAGCAGTGCGCATTCCATCGGACCCTTGGCAGGGCTCGAAACCGCAACTCGACTGTTGCCAGTCCGTGGTTGAGACCACTGAGCTACGGGGGACAGCAACGACCATCGTGAATAAGTTACTAGATGTGATATAGCGCCGCTCACTATGGTTAGTGAAATTTCCGTTTAACGGATGAGGCATATCTTACAGTCGCTCGATGCCTGAAGGGCAATACAACTTGACAATCAGATTTTGTGCATACGGAAGTCCGCCCGTGATTCCGAGATCCGGCATTCTTGCAATTTCAGCTTTCCTAAACAAGCCCAATCCGTGGCTAACATGTCACAACTACCTAGTAAGAGGCCACACTAAACGCAATTTACGAGGGGATAACACGTAGTAGCGAACTGGATGCGGTTGTCACAAATGCCCAGGTTATCGAGCCTGAGCCGAGTGGATTATGAAAACAAGAACAGTTGATGGTTGTAAGTAAAACGGGAAGGTAAGAGGAAAAAACAACATCCGTCTAACGGAGGTTTAATGACCTCTTCATCCTATGGATCGTCATGCGCGGACTTACTACGTCGTCCATCCTGGCAGCTCTGGTGGAATGTATTTCACTCAGAAGCCTAAATACCTCAGCACATGATATGACACGCGCGTACCAATTTGGACGCACCGAAACGTAGTAGATGGACTGCACTCCTACAACACAAACACGGAGTTGGTGAAAGCTGGCAAGGAGGAGTACGAAAGCAGCAGCGACCCGGTGTACACAGTATAAATCAACACTGTAATCAGCAGAGAAGGACAAAGTACGGGGAAATAACGGCCCGGAATGTTTTCCACACCGTGACGGATTTAGAAAGTAAGAACCATAAAAGAAGCACTGCATACGCGTTAAAAATATTCCGAGAGAAGCGGCTCTTAATACGTAAAGGATGTGAAATTAGTATATCTGAGAGTCAGATGTAGTATGTAATTCATAGTCGTCCATAGGAATTCTGAAAGATATTTCCAGATTTTTGCAGCAACAGCAAGTCAGACCAGGTCAGGTTCCCAGAACGCTATAGGATTCTGCCCAACAAGTGTCCTGCTTCTTGCACCGGCAAGCAACTAAGGGCCCCGCTACTTCGACTTCCAATTCCATTTCTTGCCTCTGGAAAGAAAACGAAGCAATAAGGAACAGTCTTGTACTGTCATCCTTCATGAGTTTTCTGCAACGAGCACCAATAAGTATACAATATTTCTTGAAAAGGATCTAACCAACATGTGACGGAATTTAGCGTTAATCGGAAAATGCCCCTGAGATACGTCTTCGGTCATCACGTGTACCCTGCTTCTCGTTCCGCTACATGATCTTCCTTAGCCACTACGAGGATCACCAGCACGCTGAACCGTGTCCTCCAAAGACACGGTTAATGTGATCACTCTCATACCCACTCAAATGTACTTACCTAGGCAAATGTCCAATTCTCCGTTCCCTCACACGTCCTGTGGTCAACTTCATTCCCTCCCTAACGATACTTGACCTTATTTGATTTGTTCCGTCGATAACAGATGCCCATACACAATGTATGATTTTGCTCTCTCCACGGCATTGTAACATAATTACCGCTCAGTGCCTCAAATTTGACATCATGTTAAATTGTATGTGTGCTGTCTCTTAACCACTCACTCAGTCTGGGCCATCGATGAATGGTTAGTGTCCTTGCTAACACTTTCCCACGTCTATGGTGTGCTTGCTTGTCCTCTGGCTGTCTGCATGAACAGCGCTCTCGTTCCTGTTGTTTAATTGCATATTGTTGCTGACGGTGATAAACCTGGTGCTTGGACAGTTGAAGTATGCCCCGTTTATCTAACTGTATGGCATTTAATAGTACCGTAGTTGTTGTATAAATTTAACATTCTCCCTCATTGTATCATTGTATGGTAGAGAGCAGAAGGAGAGTCCTTTATCAGCTCCGTCGCTTCCCAGTCATTGCGAACATTGCTGGGGTCATAGTGAAAATAGGGTTCCACAATGAACCATTAAAGCTAGGTTGTGTAGCAATATCCGGGCACAGTTATCAAGTGGGAATCCAACAATTTCTTGAAACTTTCCTCGGACTGCGCATCAACGACGAGCTCCGGCAAGCGATTCCAGTCATTAACCACGCGCGTGGATAGAGCTAGATTCGACCGCACATGGAGTCTCCTCGGTTTGAACAATTTCCATCCGTGACCACGTGTGGAACTTTCAGTGTTCAAATGAAAGAACTGCTGCAATTCGCTTCCAAGTTCTCCTCTTAGGATACGTCGAGTGTAGATCAAGTCGCCGCGACGACGACGGTAATCCAGAGAGAAAAGACGTAATCGCTGGAGGCGGAGAGGATAAGATAGGCACCGCAGTTCTGGCACATATTTAGATCCACGGCGCTGGACCTTCTCAATCATATCGCATTCTGTCTTCGTGAGAGGCTGGGCAGCTGGCAAGCCGTACTCGAGAATCGGGCGCACATGTGAGGCAAACAGGAGTCTGAAGAGTTCTGGAGTAAGGCGGGAGAATGCTCTTCGTAAGGCATGAAACATCCTGTAAGCAGCCGCGACTCTTTTCCTGGTGTCCTCAGTTGTTTTGAGGTAAGGAGACACAATTACTCCGAGGTCCCTTTCTTGGGCAACATTTCTCAGCAGGAAACCTCCAATATGATACACCCCGAATGGTTCACGACTACCAATCGGGAGTACGGAACATTTATCCCGGTTGATTGGTAACTGCCATTTTACCGACCAGTCGTGGAGCCTGTTGAGTGTTTCTTAGAGCCTGTCTGCATCCTCCAGACTGGATACTTCAATCCAAAGTTTCAGGTCATCGGCATAAATCAAACATTCCGTCTGCAGCTCGAACGGGAGGTCGTTAATAGAGACATTGAAGAGGACAGGGCCAAGGACAGAACCCTGTGGGACACCACTGGTCATAGGAAAAGGATCAGAAAGTGCATCATTCACCCTTACCTGCGCAGAGCGACCGTACAGGAAATCGGAAATCCAGGAGAGAAAATTCCCAGCAACGCCAATTCCGCGGAGTTTGGAAAGAAGCCGCTCATGCGGAACCTTGTCAAATGCCTTGCTAAAATCTACAAACACAACATCCAATCGTTTGCCGGCATCTAGTGATCTCACCCATTTCTCCCCTGCCACAAGCAAGTTTGTGATGCATGAGCGAGCGCTTCGAAAACCATGCTGGGCAGAAGAGATGAAATCTAACCTTTCGAGATGAAGGCATAGCGCGCGTTTTATTGTCCGTTCCATAATTTTGCAGACTACAGATGTCAAACAAACAGGACGATAATTCGCTGGATCTTGTCGGTTTCCTCCTTTATAAATGGGCTTGATGATGCCCGATTTCCAGGCTGCCGGAAGACGTCCAGTATCAAAAGACAGACGGAATATCTGACAGATAGGTGCGGTGATGTGTTCAGCTACAGTTTTAAGGAACAATGGATATAGGCCATCAAGGCCAGGCGAAGAATACGGGTTTAAATTAAGAAACAGTTTCAGTACAAAATCAGCGTTAATATCCAAGTTCTCTAGCAAAGAAGGAAGAAATGACAAGAAGCTGTCAGGAGGAGACGTTTCAGTTGAATACACAGAGGAATATTGTTTAACTAAAAGACTGGCTTTTTGTGTGTCTTCGTGAACTAAAGCAGCATGCTCGCGGAAACACAAGGCAGGGATGCCACTGCCGGCTCTAGTACTACGCTTGATGTACGAGAAAAGCGCTTTGGGCGTGGTCCGGGAGAGAGTAGCTAAAGACAGTTCGTAGAGCTGACGTTTCTCCCGTTTCTGAAAAGTACAAGCATTCCTGATTGTTTTATAGCGAGAGTAATCGAGGTCTGATCGTGTTAGTATAAAACGGTTCCACAGTTTACGCCTTTTGTTCCTAAGGGATCTTAATTGGCGATCTATCCAAGGCGGGCCTTTAGAAAACGGTCTTCTCTTGGAGGCAGGGACGATCTGTTCGATGAGCGACATCAACTTGGAGTACAAAACATTCCATGCATCATCGAGACTGAGATGCCAAGGGATACTCCAATCCACAACGCTTGCCGCCGTTTTCAAACGAAGTGCATCTACACGCCAGAAATTCCGCCGGTCGGCGCACTGGATGTGGACCGCGAAGCGACGAGTCCACTGAAAGGAAACAGCACAGTGATCACTTCTGCCAATGGGCTCGATAACGGCTACGTTTGTGATGTCTGATTGCGCTGAGGAAAGCACAAGGTCTAGGATGCGCGGTGTCTGATCTGGGAAAATACGAGTTGGCGTCATGACATGTTGAAAAAGGTTGCAATCCAGGACGGTTTCAAGTAAGGCGGCATCGAAATGGTCGGATGGGCGATTACAAAGAAGGAAATTCCAATCGATATCTGGTGCATTGAAATCACCTACGATAAGACAGTCCTTGCCTCCGCCGTGCGTCCTGATCGAGTCCAACAAACTAGCCCCGGAGCCGGATGGTGCCCTGTAGACGACACCAATCAAGGAAGATCTATATCCATCATGCACACGGCACCAGAGGGCTTCAAAATTGTTATCATGGTCACTGATAGCTTCAACCACATGCGCTTTGAGCTCCGCCTTCCAATAAAGCATTACGCCCCCACCAGACCTCCCGCCATGGCGATCGGACCTGGTGAGGTTATATCCAGGAATACACACTTCTGAGTCTGTGATTTCTGAAAATAACCATGTTTCAATGAAGGCCATCAGGTCTGGATGAGTCTCTGAGGCAATTAAATGGATCTCATCTAGCTTATTCCTTAGACTTCGCACATTAGCAGATAACACGCGCAGTCCGTTCTTATAATTTACTGTCCAGGGGTGAGTAGGATGGGCCTCCAACGGGTTTTCGGAGTCCTCCGAACTACTCGAAAATCCACAATATGGAGGTCTGTTTCACCACTCCCCCGTCTAGTACGGAGTTCTTCTACAGCCTTTTTCATTTTGACTCGATCCTCCGGAGAGAGGTCACGAAGTACGTAGTATGGCTCACCTTTGAGACGCGAGGTCCTTCGCAAGATGCGTCGGCATTCCTCCGCGTTCCTCCCTCGGTACTGTGGCGAAACCTATTGAGCTAGAGAAGGCGATGACTGCACGACTGTGTGATGTCGAATGCATAGCCACAGTGGGCGACCTGTGGCACCACATTCGCGACCAGGTGACAGCTGCTGCCGAGGTGACCATCGGGCGCGCAAACTGTAAGCTGCCCGATTGGTTTGATGAGAACAATGCGACGACTTGCACAATGGTGGCTGAAAAGAATGCAACATTTTCTGCACATGTGGCAGACCGCAGTGACTTGGGGAAGAAGTCAGTTTCGAAAACTTCGACGGCCGCTGACTCGAGAGCTCCGTCGCATTGAAAATGCATGGTGGACGGAGAAGGCGAAGCAGATGGAATGCTAGCCGAGCACCGCCAACACAAGGAATTCTTTAACACCTTGAATGCGGTGTATGGACCGAGGTTGGAGCCGCTGAGGACGATGATCGATGGTAGCTCAGGTGCTGTCTTCACACAGACTTCAGACATAATGTAGATCCGGCGAAACCACTTTGATTGTCTCTCGAACAATCGTTCAGAAATTGACTGGCCTACAATGAACCGCCTGAAGCAGCATGTGAGGATGAGTCTGGCAGACACGCCGACACTGGATGAGACGCAGAGAGGACTTGCTCAGCTGCAAAACGGTAAGTGTGCCGGTGCCGATGGGACCTCACCTGAAGTCTTGAAACACGGCGGACTCGCGCAGGTGCCTGCGCTGCACCACTTGGTGCAACGCGGGTGAATCTTTCGTCAAACAATTTCCTGATGTTTTGGCCACCGCAGAGGATAATCAACGGTGCCCTACCTGCCGCATCCAGCAGGGTGGATAGGGGTTTGGATGCTACTGCTCAAGCCTTCCCATTTTCTTTGCCTCCCTCTTACGCTTTTTCACGCTTATCGCCCCGTTTCAGCTTCACTTTTATCCCCCTTTTTAACCCCCCAATTCTCGGCCCTCCCGCACCTTGCTTCAATAGTCGCTTGCCTTTTAGTTTCAACTCACATGTGAACGAGGAGCGTCATTCCTGTCCTGTCGACAAGCCCATGTCCAAGCAAGCAACCAAGCCCAATTCATCAGCTTCCATTTGGAGCCCTCGATCCTCCTTCAGATTGGCATGCCTCAATGTACGCACACTGTTTCACATCGGTCAATAGGCAGCAATTGCCCGAACAGTAGAGACCCTCTCGATCGATACATGCTGCTTATCGGAGACTCGCCTGCAAAACTCGAGCTCTGTGCTCACTCTGCGATCCCCTTCAGGTGACACTTGCAGCACTTTCTCATTGCGCCTATCCGGTGACGATGTAGCTTCGAGTACCGGCCAAGCCGGTGTTGGTATTGCCCTGAGTCCCCAGGCTGAAGCTACTCTGGTTGATTGGATCGCAATCAGTAGCCGGATGTGTGCAGGCCGATTGGCTGGCTCGTTCAAAGTCTCAAAGTCGCCTGGGACTAACAGATGTCTATTCGTTATCGATGCCTATGCACCCACAAACTCTAGCGATGACCCGGTAGAAGACGATTTCTATCGTCAACTGAACGAGCTCCTTAGCCACAGAAGTAGCTCAGATACTGTAGTGCTGGCTGGGGATCTGAATGCTCAAGTTGGAATGTTATCCACTGATGAACTGCATCTGAGCGGCCAACATGGTGTAGGCTCCCGTAATGATAACGGTAAGCGGTTACTTCGTTTGTGTGAGGATGCTCGCTTATTTCTTGCGAACGTTAATTTCCGACACAGCACTCGCCGGAGGGTGACTTGGCGCTCACCAGCCTCGAACCCACTATACACGCAAAGCGATCACATTGCGATATCTTACCGATGGTGAGGCTGCGTCCAGAACTGTAGCTCGATTTGGAGCACACATGTAGACACCGATCATGGACTAGTATGTGCTGACCGCGGATGCGTTTTGACGGACGCCCACGAGGATGTTGTGACTGTACTGACACCAGCCAACTGGCGAAGAAAGCTGTTCCGAATGCCTATCAAAGTACGCTGTCGTGCGAGTTAAATAAGCGCTCACTAGATACAACTGAAGCTCACTGGTCTCATATTCACCAGACCTGACTAGCAGCAGGCAAATCCTCATTTGGTAAGTCTAATCGCCAACATGGACATTGGGTCTCTTCGCAGTCTCTGGAACTTATCGATGCTCGCCGGCATATCCCGGTTGCAAGCGAACACAATGAAACTCGCAAAGAGGTCCGGGCAAAACTCCGTGCTAGCCTGAAGAGAGACCGCGAATCTTGGTGGTCTCATCGTGCTTCCGAGATGGAAATGGCCGCTGCCTTTGGTAACCACCGTTATTCCGGCTGATACGGGAAACGGGCAGCAGGAGACCTGGTGTTAGTGAAACTACACGTGACGAGAGTGGACAGCTTATCCACAAGTTGTCAAAACGTTTGGAGCGTTGGGCTGTGCACTTTGAAAGACAATTTAATAGGTCGGAATTGTTAGATTTCTCGCCGGCCATTGATCACCCAGCTCTCTCTGGGCTGTCCCGTTGGATCCACCCTCTCGCCCAGAAGTCGAACGTGAGATCGGACTGTTGAAGTTAAATAAAGCCGCAGGACCAGATGACCTACCTCCAGCCCTCTTCAAATTCGGGGGACCTGCTCTCATGGATGATTTACACGAGTTACTAGTGAAACTGTGGGAGCAGGAAACTGTCCCAACCGACTGGAGCCGCTCCGTCCCAATTTTTAAAGGAGGCTCACGATCGGAATGCGACAGAAATCGTGGAATCAGTCTGAACTCAATCGCCTCCAAATTGCTTGCCTCTGTCATCCTTCACAGACTGAGTGGCACCCGTGAAAGCCAGATTCGTGAAGAAAAAGCAAGGTTTCCTCGAGGTCGTGGCTACATTGACCACATCTTCACCTTGCGTCAGTTGTTGGAGCACCGTCACATTTATTGGCGGCCCACCGTTGTCGTGTTCCTCGATATCAAAGGTGCATTCGATTCGGTGTATAGACGTGCACTTTGGAACTGTCTACTCATGAAAGGTGTACCTGAGAAATACGTAAATATTATCCGAGCATTATACGCGCGTAGCTCGGGCAAAGTGAGGGCTTACGGCAAGCTGTCGTCACCCTTTAATATCTCCAGCGCTGTGAGACAAGGATGCTTGCTGTCCCCTTTGCTCTTCAACTTCGCTATTGATGAAGTCATGGAAATCGCGTTTACAGGACACGACTTAGAAGGTGTGGAGCTACTCCCAGGAGAATGACTTTTTGACTTAGAGTCTGCTGATGATGTTGCCCTAATCTGTGACAGCTCACAAACGTACCAAGCGGCACCGGACAGATTAGCGCCAGCTGTCCGTCACTTCGTGCTTTGCTTCGCACCCTCGAATTGGAAAGCGTTCCTCCAAGATTGGTCTGGACCGCCTCCTACGCTGACCCTTGGTGGCGATCAGCTAGAAGTCGTTCAAAAATTCAACTACCTGGGAAGTTGTATCAGCGCCTGTGGGATTGAAGATGAGACCACGAACCGTATAGCAAAAGCTCGAGGCGCTTTTTCTAAGCTTCGCCTCTTATGGCGCCGGCGCGACATCACTATCGTGCTGAAGGGTAGAGTGTACAATGCAGCAGTACCTTCGACCCTACTGTGCGTTTGTGAAACCTGGCCGCTTAAAGCAGCAGACCTGAAGAAGCTAGTTACGTTCGATCACCGGTGCATTCGTAATTTAGCTCACATCTGGTGGGAACACCGCGTGAGCAACGAGCGTGTCCGACGCCTTATTTATGGTACAGGAATAGGAACTGAACCGCTCAGCACCGTTATTTCACGCATCAGGCTCCGATGGCTCGGCCACGTGTTACGCATGTCAGCCCACCGACTCCCGCGACGTGCGTTGTTTGCGCCGGGGGTGTGGATGGAAGAAGAGGGGTGACTAAGCGTTGACTTGTTCGAGAGGAATGAAGGCCCTCACTTCTGAGCTGGCCTCGGTTGGAGTGTCTCGGCTCCCTAGTGGGGGTCCGAAAACGATGAACACCTTTGGCTGAATACAATTGCCGACATGGCTAAAAGCCGACCTCAGTGGCTTTTGTGCTCTGAGTTTCTTTATCCCACCCATCCCTCTTATCCTCCCCCTCCAACCACGATCTCATTTTTTAACCTTATATAATTTTGCATTGTAATTATTTTTGATGCATAGTAGCCGGCTTGTAGCTTACCGGAACAATGCCCATCCGTTACCTGTAGCTCAGCCGGCTTGCCACAGTTGAATTCTTTTTTTCTGTGTATTGCGGCACAGTAGCTGAGTTGTTCCCCACCTCTAGCTAACGTGTATGATGATGATGTTGATTTAGCAGAAAAGTTAGCACAAGCGTGCTGCACGATTTGATTCCGGAAAAGTTTCTCTGCAAATTTTCCAGTGCATAGTACAGACGTATGAAGTTATAACATCATAAAAGTCACACAGTTAAATTGGCAAATTGACCAAACTGAACACACATGCATTCATGTCGCCTTGTCATCTGTTCCCGGCCTGCTATCACAGCAGAGCCGGGTTACAAATGCGACTTCCTGCAAGCACAGAGTTGGGTCAACTTGTTTGATGGCCACGGCCTCAGCATATCGTAAAGTTAGGGGGTTCATAGATGCATAGATAACACGGAACGCACGCACGGGGTCTACACAGTGGATGTCATCCAGTAGGTGGCGGGCAATTGATGAAGCTGCTTGCTTGTATGAAACTTCATTTCGCTTTATTGGCTGCGCATTTGTGGTGGCGGACGTAGCCAGCTGCGAAACGTGTTTACTCATCCACGCAGGTATGTGCTCCGCGACCCACATCCTCAATTGTCGTTCTGTCATGCACACGTATTCGGTTTTGCAAATTACATGTAAATTGGTACAAGATGTGTGAACGCCTGGATAGTGACAGTGGGGGGGGGGGTTTAACCGACGAAATAGGGATACGATTCGTTCTGTAGATTAGTACTAGTCCCGCCGCAGGGTATGTGCGCGTCATTGCGGATTTCAATTAACGCGGAAAAACCTGACATACGTCGTCGCCCTTGAATGGCAGTTGCATGGTTACTTTCATCTTCGGTACCGTGGGCCCACATTGTTCCGCTTTCACAGAGCTAAATTGAGCGGTGAAAGACGGTGGGTACCCAGTGTCTACAAGGGTACTGGTTATCCGCCGCACCTCATTTTCCAGCGTGTCAGCAGTGCATAATTTTCTAGCTCTGTTGAACAAACTCTTCACCGGACCTTATTTGTACCGCTTGGGGACTAAGCTGTAGAAGTTCAAGTACGGTCCCTTCCACGTTGGCTTGTGGTAAACTGAGGTCCATCCCTCCTACGCTCTCTCAGAATGTCAAAGTACGGCAGCGTATCATGCTGTTCGCGCTCCGTTGTCACTCTAATGTTTTGATGTAAGCCATTCAACTTGTAAGTTTAATCGAATGTCTGCACAGTGGTATGTTGGCGAAGGTGTGGCTGGGTGGAGAGACCTCGGATGATTTTGCAGTTGCC